TATTTGGAGATTATTACTTCCTTAACAACAGAGGCTCGATATTCATATAAAGATAAAGGTGTGCATGCAGAGTTTCGTTAGAAGTTGTAATAGATACCTTGAAAGATTTTTGGTAAAGTGTCAATATCAGTTGGCTTGTTAGGTACTTACACACTATTTTATCAGAGAGTATTATTCCTGAGCATGACAAAAACGTTTTGTTGGTATACATTAATAAGCTGAACATAACATACATATGAGGGAAATAGTTTTAAAGAAATCTGTGTTCGTATGGAAAAGTAGCTTATGTCGAAAGGTTGGCTTTAGTATAATGCGGCAATCCCTTTATTTTTTAAACGGCAAGGAATTTTTTGATGAGACTTAATAAGAATATTGACTTGCTAGTATCGGAACTATTTCTTCCACGTTTATTTGCTAAAAGTTGTTCAACGGCTTACCGCCAGTGAGTCATTCGCAATCGTATGCTGCGAATGCCGATTTATACTAAAGCCAGCCTTTCGACATAAGCTACTTTTCCATATGAACACAGAAATTATAAAAGTGTATATGTATGTACATTCAGGTGGCTCTTATAAACATTTTAAAAATTTTGCTAATTCGTAGGCACTAATCTTCAGTTTGTATCAGACTTCAAAGCACAAAAATCCATAAAAAAAGTAAAAAAAAAAAATCAAATACATCAAATGAACGATTTTTTCCGGTGAAGACATCTTCATAGGGCAATCTAAGCTTTGACCCCTGTGTGACGCGCCTTAACCGACATCAATCGGAACCACAGTTAATACGTGATATCTTCGACTTTAGTACTATCGATTTTGAGTATTAGATGTAAAAATATTAATTTTAGTCTGAACTTGGCCCCCTGTGCGATACGCCTTAACCGTCTCCAATCGGCACCAAAATTTATGTGATATCTTCGACTATAGTAGCATCTACGTAGGGGTTGAGGCTTAGGGAACCTATTGAAAATTTTTTCTTCCTACATTTAAGGACCACCCTAATGAAAAATCTTAGTGCAAATTTACTTGTCTACTACATATCGTTACATATCTTAATATAGAAAGGCCCAATCTAACATTTTTGTGTATTTAAAGAGCGGTTGCATGAAAAAATTCATTCAATTTACATATGTACGACCATGGGGTTGTATCATGCTCCATACAAAAAAAAATCGGTACTGTTTTCCATTGAAATTCTAAAATCTTCTTTATTTTGAGACTACTACCAAAAAATTTCAGAATACCTTGTAACCGCCAAAAGAAAGTAAGCGAAATGTTTTTCAAAATTTTCATTTTAATGCAGAATCGCATCTAGATGCTCTACGGGCATTTCTGCATCAAAAAGAAAATTTTTGAAATATATGTCGATTACGTTTTTTTGGCGGTTAGGGAACCATATTAAATAGGTCTAAAGCCAAACTGATTTGGCGCAATCAGTTAGTTGACGATGATTTTTAGTGTTTCACATAATACATTCTTTAAGACCCTAGAGTCGATGCTTAGACGGCTGATCTCATGGTAGATCGCGCTTGTGAAAGGCTCGTCTTTCTTGTAGGTTAGACAGAGTACAATTAAATTCCAAAAGCCAGGCTTACAATAATGCTTCTCGCTGTCGTACTGAAATAGCTCAGCTGGCAGGCCTTTAGCTCCAGGAGTTTTCTTGTTCTTCAGGTAAAAATTGCTATACGTAATTGGAGTCAACTCCGTCGTCCTCGAATGAGCAAGCGGGTTTATTTTCACTAATGCTATCAGTGGTATTCAGCAGACAGGGACGCTGTAGATGTATAGATGTGTCAGAATTACTCCAGAATGCAAGATTTGTGAGATATTCTAACCTAACCACCTCTTCTATGTATAATCATTAAGAAATTTTTTTTTTTCCGAAAATGGGCCGAATTTTGACCTCAAAGTCACTTCTTTACCTTTAAAAATGTTCCCCATTTTTTCGATTCGAAAACCCTTCCTTTATTCCAGATTTACTTAGGAATATAATACTGAAGATATTATAACAGTGTTTAGGGAAACGACTTCAAATCCTGGAGTACTGCAGCAGACAATTTAAGTATACAACTTTTACAATTACATATGCACATACATACATATGTACGTAACTAACCCAGTAACGATTAATGAATAGTCTATTATTCGTTTCGAGAACTAGGCCATTGTCCAGTAAAGCAGAACCCTCGTTATCCAATGTATTTTCCCTTTGTTAAGATTTTGAAATCAAGTCTACTATCGAATTGAAATTTTAATAAGAGAGAGTGATTGTGTTATGTTTCCCTTCGAGAATGAGCTGGATTTCACTTTTTCTCTTCTAGTTTTAATTTTTTTTCCAACCCAACTCGAGTGTATTTCCAATATACATACTACGAACGTTAGATAACTGAGGTTGGTTTCTCAGGCATATTGGATATGGAAAGTCATTTTCGAAGCTTCCTCAAAATGTTTAAAGTTTTAATTATTCTACAACACTGATATCCGAAAATTTCATGTCTAAACGCAGCTATTAAATATATAATTTACGCATAAGCGGGGTATTTGGTTGTAGTGCAGTTATTCACAAATTTCACTTTCCGAAAATAAAATAAAATTTTCCGTTTGTATTGTGGCTGTTGTAGTTGCAGCGGTCTTAATTTCCGTTATTGAAGAACTTCAGTAGGACAATAAAACGGAACATAAACATCGGGTTCTCTCGTTTTCCAGAAAGTGCAAATCTATCTGCATGTAGTTATATACATACATATCTATGCATGTATATACATGTTTGTATGAGTAATAATGTTGCTGGGAAAATGCGGCTACTTGTTCAATATACTTAATGCTTGATGTTTGTAGCAATTTTAATTGTGGCGCTAAAAAATTACGATTACACAATTACCCAGCAGGAAAATTCGTAAATATTAGTAAATAGGTAAGCAAAAAAAGTACTGTTAGAAAATTAAGCTATGATACAAGGTTGTCTTTCTAATTCAAAAGCCGATTAAAAGTGAAAACTGTTTTTTAAAACTTTGCTGAAATTTGGTAAAAGTACGTATGTATTTAAAACATGTTTTATTCAATGGTCATGTTAGGCCTGCATGTATACCTCAAGGTGGGGAATAAAAGCTATAGCAGCTTTGTTTGGGTGCTATATTTCAAGAAACAACTTTGAACACAACTTTTAGGTTTTTCGCCCATGCAGAGTCAACCAGAAAGAAGAAAAAACCCAATCCTCGGAAAGTCAGTCATATCTGGTATACTGACGACGACAAGATCGACCATGATATGAGGTTTACAATCGAGAAAGCTCTTGCTAACCACACCATAGATAAGGATAAATCTGACAGTTAGCCTTATCATGAATTTTCAAATTAATTCAAATTTTTTTTAGTTTAAATTTTTTTTCTTTTTTAATTTAATTTTCTCTTACTTTTAGATTTTATTGTTTTAAGAAAAATACACATATATTTTTTATTCATTTAATTTGTAAGGTCTAAATTTTTTATGTTTTTGATTTAAATAATTTATTTTCTCGATCAATTTTTAAATTATATTATTAAAACAATAAATTTTAATTTCATTTCATTTTTAAGAACTTAGATACTTTATTTCTTTTTTGTTCAATAATTTTTTAGTTTTTGATTTTTGTTTGTAGATTTTATTGTTTTAAAAATAAAAGTATTTAGTTGAATTGCATTTAATTTTTAGAAACATATTTTTTCCATTTTCTTTATTAAATTTGTTCTTAATTTTTTACATTTATTAGATTTTATTGTTTTAAAAAGAAAAGTATTTTACTGAATTGCATTTAATTTTAAGAAGCTTTTACTTTTCCTTTGTCCTTATTCAATTATTTTTTTTTTTTTTTACTTTTTAGATTTTATTGTTTTAAGAAGAAGCAACTTTTTTATTCACTTAATTTTAAAGGGCAATTTTTTCTGTTTTTGATTTAACGTAATTCATTTTTCTTTTCATTTTTAGATTTTATTATCTAAAAAAAATTATTTTTTTATTTTAACTTAATTTTTAGGAAATCACTTTATTTCTTTTAATTAATTTATTTTTTTTAATTTATAGATTTTATTGTTTAAAACAAAGCCCAATTTTTCATTTAGTTAAATTTTTAGAATGTTATATTTTATTTAATTTTCTTTTAATCTTTCGTTTTTATTGTTTTAAGAAGAAAAATATAAATTTTTTTGTAATTTCCTCCTCTTGGCAGATATTTGAACTAGTCTTTCGAAAGACAGAAAGAGGTTTCAAAATAGTTGCCAGAATTCTCAATTGTCTTACAAAAGATTTTTGTAAATTTCTAAAAGTTCCAGTCATGTATTTCCTTCTTATAGTACATCTTCTACTTCGTGAATTTCTTACTGGGAACAGCCACACACACACACAAAGGTCAGAAACGCATAATAAACCAAGAAATGACATAAAACATCAAAACATGTGTATTATTCTACAGAAAAATATGTGTAAGAATAGTTTCACTTTCATAACCGCACGGCAACAAACAGGTAGTAGAACGATTGACCGTTCAGTGGAGCAGTAGTCCAGTAGTGAGTTGGTCATAAAACATAAACCAGCATGTACGTAAATGGTGAGTGGCCAACAAATATAAATATGTAACCACAAACATACATACATATCTATGTAAATATGTAGCATATCTGTACTTTGCACCGCACCATCAAATGCGTCAAGTGTTGAAAATTTAAATTCAGTCAAATTTCGGCGGTGAACCGCAAAAGTAATAACTTGTAGTTAGTAGTAGTAAGAAGTACGAAGTATGTAAGAAAACTGTGCAACGCCCAACAACTAACAAATTGAAGTGTTAAGGAGTCTCGGAAAAGTTGAGATGAATTAAGTGCTGTTAAACAAATTGGCACAAAAAAGTTTTTGAATAAAATTCCACAAAGTTTACAGTGAACTTGAGTAAAGTATTTAAGGATGCAGTTGAAGAGTTTCATAATTCTGGTGTATATTTTGTCGAAGGGCGCGTCGTATGGGATGAGTGCTATGATAAATTCGTATGAAGCTAAGGAAGACGAAAGTACTAGGAGGCGGCAGCGAAATGCTAATATCGCAGTGGTATTTGAGAATGGCACGCAAAGAGCGCGAGTGTGTGAGTTGATGGAAGAGGAGGAGAAGCGAGCAAAAGCCGAAAGTGAAGAAGTGGCAGACTTGCGAGCTTTAAGTGCCAACTCTACGCGGGAAAGCTTTAGAAGTGTTTCTGCAGAAGCGAACGAAAGTCTCTCTAACGCACGCAAAACTCCCTTTTTGGAAATCCAACCGACGCGGCCCAACGCGCTCTTCACAGCTGGCGCGAAACCCTCCTTCAATATACTCGAACAACTAAAACTGGATGAAATACGCGATGCGCAAGAGCAGCTGCTACTCAATTCAGGCCAACAGCTAAAGGCGCTTAGGAAGAAAAAGAAGAAAAAACGCAAGAAGAATAAAAAGCAGAAACCCATTGGCGAGCAAGCTACTATTTTTTGGACTCAATTAACAACAAAAAAACCACATTATATCTATCATACAACAACAACAAAGGTGCCAAAGAAAATCAAGTACATCGTACGCAAAAAGAATACGCTGAAAAAGAAGAAGAAAGAATATTTGAATCACTTGAAACACGTACTCTACCCGTTCATCAAGTTTATCGCCTTCTTTACGGTACTCAATCCATTCACATTGAAAGTTTTTATATTTGCGCTCATTTCGCCGGTGATTTTTGGATTTTTAGGTTTTATGGCGCTTAGTTTTATGGTTAAACCGGCACTTCACCTCATTTTCGATGTTAAGAAGCGTGTGGACATTATTAAGCGTAAGCAGTGGCGTGAGAAAAAGCGGCGCGAACGTTGGCGCTATGGCCGCCGGCCGATTACTATACACAAACACTACTACAAGAATGTAGTTGCGCCGCATCCACCGAAACCGAAACCGAAACCAAAACCGCCGATACATATATCGCATGAACCGCCAATACATACTATATCGCATGAACCGCCGATACATATATCGCATGAACCGCCACACTTGTCGCATCCGCCGCTCAATTGGCCTGAATGGGTGCGTGCCGATCAAATAGATTTTAGACTAAAGCTTCAGTCGCAAAGACCATCGGACGTGTATAGACCCGATCATCAA